GTGGTCCCCCTCCCCGCAGGGGGCCGGAGAGGAGGCAGCCAGGCTGTCCCGCCCAGCCCACAGTCTCCACGGGAGTGTTACGGAGCCCTGGACCAGAAGAGACGGGCAGGGGTCAGAGGACCAGGATTAGCCAGTGGGATCATTTGCCCCCTGCCTGATAGTATGTAGCTCAGGAGTGGGGGCTCTGGAAGGTGGCTGCGTGAAGATTAGGGCTTGGAGAGGGCAGAATGTGGCTTCTTTACTCCTCCAGAGCCATCTTTAGACTCTAGGTGAGTTGACCTGGGGGCCAGAGGGGCTGGCTGATATGCCTTCCTACCTCCCACCCCATCCCTGGATCCTGTCCTCTCTCATCCATTCTAAACTGCCTTGGCCCTGAACTACTCAGGAGGTTTCATCTTCTGGAAGGAAGTTTTGGCCTTGGTCTTCCATCTTCTAGGCAGTAGGGGTAAAATCTGGGCCATTTCCAAAAAGAGCACTACTGCCTCTAGCTTAGCCGGCTTTCTTCCTCCATGCTTGTCTTGGCCCAGTTCTCCTTCCTGCTGCCAGACCTTTTAGAGGTCATTCTGTCCATTCCTCTGTCTTCAGAGGTGAACAGCTCACTCCTCAGATCCTGGGGATGGGGTTGGGGCATTTCCTAGTCTGAGATGGGGTTGGGCATTTCCTAGTCTGAGACACACACTCTCTTAACCTGGTCTATGCTCATCTCGGCAAAGGCCTTTTATCGTGACCTTGACAGTTGTGCTCATGCCCTTCCGTGTGGCTCAAGGGCCCTTCTAACCACTTTGCCGAGTTGGAAACAGAACCCTAGAGACTGGTCAAGAGGAGACCCTGGAATAGGAAGTTTCTCTCCTGTTTTGAGGTAGTCCTAGAAGCCCACTTTTCAGGATGCCTTTAGGAGGAAGTGCTTCTGTTGGTCTGGGCAGGGGGATGGTGGCACGGGGGTGAGGGGCAGGATCAGTCCACCGGTGATTGTTGATGGCCCACTATCCGTAAATCACAGTTCTTGGCATTAGGAATATGGCAACTAAGTTAGAAAAACGCTCCTTTGAATCTGTTTTGGAGGCAAATGGGATAAGAACCACAAATAAAACGAAGATTGGGGATTAAAACATATTCCCAGAATGAGATTATTTATATGCTAACGACCAGATAAATAGCATAGGCAGAGAGGCTTGTTGGAGTTCAGAGGTGGGAGAGAGTCCTCCTTGCTGTGGTAGTCAGGGAGGGCTTCATGGAGGAGGAGAGCTTGTAGGAAAAGAGAAGAAGCTGTTTTACAAACGAAAGCTTGGATGTGGGACTAAGCAAGGGGGTCTAGGGAGCAGGTGTGGATGGAACAGAGCTTTGGGGCATGAAAAATCAAGGTCTGCTAAGGGATAGGGCCAATGGTGGGGGGTCTTGAAAGACCACTGGAGATTTAGGGCTCTGGTCTGCCTCTCATCCTGGGCTGCTGCGACTTCACACAAAGAACAAGAAGCGCAGAACCCAAGGTGGGGTGCAGATCTCGTTATCCCCATTAGGAGTTGATGACTGTGGGCCACTCATTTAACTTCTGCTATCTGTAACATGGAACTCAAAGGAAACAATGCTACTGGGTTCTAGTGACAGAGTTGGTGAAAATGCCTGTCCCGTAGGAATGAGTGACTGTTACTTGCTCCTCGTTCCTTTCGAAGGATCAGTGACTGAGTCCGAGGCCTGAGTGAGGTTTGTCAAACTGGATGCTTCTAGTACAATAGGATGTTTTTCATGTTCCAAACTGTGCCTCCCAAGCTTGGGGACAGCCAGCTTACGTCTGAGTCTTGAGTTGGCCTTATGTCCTGCCTCAGGAGGCACTCTGTTCTCATGGCCACTAGCCCTGGAGAGAGAACAATCTAGGGATGTTTGTCCTGAAGCCTCACACTGTTTTCTCCCTTCGTCCACAGCCCATCAACACCGAGAGTGCACCAAAGAATGTAGTGGATGCGGTGAGTGACAGCAGGCAGGGTGGGGTGGCGGGAAACAGCCTGGGTAGCCTCGAAAGCGGAAGATGGATTCGGGGAAAGTGAACAGATGTGTCTGGGGACATTCTTCTGGAGTAGATTTGGGGAACTTGGGGGAAATGGTGGGGACATGGGTGACGTTGGGAGCCGGGTGACTGACCATCCTTTGTGTGTTTGGAAATGGATTGCTGGGGAACGAGGCGGGCGGAGAGGGCGAGGCCAGTGGTGAAATGTGGGCTTCTCTATTAAATATGTAGAAAGTGAAAAAGCCAGGAGATCTTTCCAAACATCTTTCTGGCTTAGCAGAGAGACGGACAATCTCCCCGAGGCTGCGTGGGACAGGAAGGGAAGAAAGTGGGTGGGCCCTGCAGCGGGGAAGCCAAGGCTAGCAACCGAGAGGTGTCTCTGGCAATGGCCAGCATGGAATAATGGGCTCGGAGACGGAGGACTTGGGTGCAAATCCTAACTCCTCCATGCTTTTAATTGCTTCTAATTGGGTGACTATAGGCAAGTCTAGAGCCTGTCTGTGCCTTAGTTTTCTTATCCGCAAAATGGGGATGATAATATCTCCTACAGGAGTGGTTGTGAGATGTAGAGAGGTGGATTTGGTTAGCTTTGAGGTGACTTTAGTGGAAAAAGAAATGTGAAATAAACAACCCAGTTCCCACGAGGCCCTTCTGCCAACCTCCTCACCCCCCGCCCCAGACAAACCCAGCAGGCGAAAGACTGGTGCTTTTTGCTTACTTTCCTTAACTCCACTCTCTGCCTGCCTTTTCTCCACGTCCAGGGAGAAGGAGCCTTCCGGGGTGGAAATACACGGAAAGGCCTCGAGGAAGACGTAAGTGTGGGGAGGCGGCGGAGAAGGATGTGGCTGGGCCCCTGGTGCCCAGAGGGAATGGTGGTGTGTGGGTGCTGTCTGTACCTGTCTCGTTTGGTGGGTGTCCCTTCCAGAAGGGCAGGCAGGGGTTGCCCAGCTCCAATGCTGAGCAGGGGAGAAGGGGACGGGATGGTGAGCAGGACCCATCTATTTACACTCTGGGTCTCAGTCTGAGTCTTAGCCTCCAGCTCCGCTGGATCCGGAGCTCATTTGCCCATCACTTTGCCAGGGCGGGAAGCGGGAGGGAGGCATGCTCCGTGAGGCCTGGCCAGGTGGCCAGCAGCACCAAGGTCAGGGCAAGGGGAACGAGCAACACTGTAGCAAGAAAGAATAAGGACAGAGACAAAGAGGGACTCCTGAGCCTTTAGAGGGTCATCAGACCTTGGGGAATTCAGGCTCTGTTTCTTTGGAGGGAGGTCTTTGAAAATGTCAGAATCCTCTGTGTGGCTTAAGTGCTGTCGATTCAGAAGGAAGCTGGACGGTGGGCCGGCTGGTCCCACCATGCTCCTCCTGCCGTGCATTTTTGGCGGAAGTCAGTGAGCAAATTCCTCAAACGGAAGGACCCCAGAGGAAGAGAGGGGGGCTTTCCTGGGACCCTGCTTTGAGCAATGCTTGTGTCGGGGCTTGTCCCCAAGCTTGGGGACAGCCAGGTTCCATCTGAACCTAGGGGCAGACACCCCACAGAGTTGGGCCTTTCTCTTTCCTCCCCACCCTTCTTTGACAATTCACCCTTCTGCTGGCCTCTCCATCCTCACTCGCCCTGATCTGCAGAGGAACAGGGAGTGGTTTTGGCGGTTGGCACAGGGGGAGCTGTTGATGGCATGAGGCCCTATCATCTGACAGCTGCCTGACCCACAGTGGGGAGGGCCCCGGAGGGAGGTGCTGGGGCAGCAGGAGGCAGCTCCCGCAGGCTGCAGCACTTCTGTGGCGAGCCCACTGCCACATTGCCTGGGGCAGCCCTGCACGGCGGGGGAGTCCGGGAGGAGCAGGAGCATGCCCCTCAGGTTAGTGGGGGGGCTCCGTTCAGGGTATGAGTAGGTCCTGTGGGCACGGAGTACACATGTTGGGGAGGGGCCCTGTTCTGAGTTTGTGATGTTTCTGGGATGCAGGGGAGAAATTAATTTTCCCGTATCTACTAGTGAGGGTTCATAAGCTTAATGCATGTGATATGTGCTCAATAAATGTTAGCTATTATTATTAGTGCTATTTTGACTGAGAGCCAGGAGCTGGGCTGGGTATTTTTGGATCCCCATGACATCCCCTACGGCAGATACTATGGCCCCATTTTGTAGATGAGCAAACAGAGCCTTGGCGGGGCTCGATGCCTCGATGAACACCTTTTCCATCTCTTCCTGGGACCACTGCTTGGATCTGGCGTTATCCAGGACTCCCAACCCTTGGCCAGGGGGACAGGATGATGGTGTGTGAACCAAACCTTTTTAGCCAATGGCCTGGAAACTCTTATAAGTTAAGTCCTAGAGCTGCTGCTCCCACGACCCCAGCCCGGGCCAAATGGATCCTGTAAGATACAGCTGCAGTGAGAGAGGGCGAAGTTAGACGTTATGAAGAACTTTTTGACATGAGGGTGTATATGACCTTGGTCCTGGGGAAGGAAGAGGTGGCCATTTAGTTGGGACTGGAGGGGTTTTTTTTTAGGAGGAAGTTTTGTTGATCTGAGATGATGTGCATGTAAGGGATGGGTAAGGGCTAAGCAGATCCCAGATGGCCCATGTACTGCAAAGAAGGAGAGGAAACCTAATTTTTCAAGGTTCCCAGATACCTGTCCCAGGTTGGATGTCTCTGGAGCCACTGAATCAGTCCCCTCCCCATCCAGTGAGAGCTCCTGCAGTCTGCTCCAGGTGAGGGGACCTGTTTTCGAGGTGGCATGGTTGAAGTCCTGGGCCTACTGCTGTGATAATGTGCCTGTTTTCTGAGCTGTTTTCCTGTCTCTGGCCTGCGGCCCAGGACTCACAGGACAGGAATGGCTGTTTTCCTCTGACGCGTTGGTGTGTAGTGGAGTTTATGTATGGTGTGCTATGTCGCACTTTGTTTTGGAAAAATCCAGGCTTGCGGGCAGGAAGGAGAGAGGAAGGGGTGTGGCCGGAGGGGCTGGTGTCAGGGGGAGGGGGTGGCTACAGCCCCCAGAGGAGATGTAGGAATGGGGATGGGCCCCTGATGCAGGTTGATCACCAATCTCTGGCCGTCCGACATGGACCCCCTGGTGTTGCTGACTGCTCCCACCTGGACCCCCTGGGGACTGGGGCTCAGGAAACAGATTTTCTTTTGGTCTAGAGCTGTTGTGTTTGGTCTGTGGGCCTCCAGGGGAGGCAGGACTCTTCCCACACAGACCAACCCCACCCAAGTCCTGGCGTTCCCGCTTTCTGCTGTATGGCAGGGAAGAAGGCGGGTCACAGAGCCTAGGGTCATGGCCCTCGAGCGCTCAGGAATGTCTGAGTGGTGATCAGCGGGGAGGACCAAGGCAAAAAGAATTGGCTGGATCTGCAGCAGGAAGGGTGAGGGTCAGAAACCAGGAGGAACTTCCGGGTGGTAAGAGAAGCAAGAGCCTGTTCTGGGGAGGCTGTGGAATTTCCTTTCGTGGTGTCCTTTCAGCAAAGGAGAGATCATTTTGGTGACGACGATAGGAGAGGGCTCTTCCCCAGACCCAGGGAGTGAGATCAAAAGTTCTATTATTGATCTACGTCTTGGGAGGGCCTGGGAGGACAGTCAAAGCCATGTGGGTAAAAGAGCTTTGAGAGGAAGAAAGTAGGATCATAGGCAGACAGAGAGCGTATTTTTCTTTTTAAAATAAAATCTTTGTAGTACTCTTTGTAAAGCTCTCTTGGTAGCCTTCCCTAAGGGCTCTAAATGGAACAGGTAAATCATGTGACATCATGTGGGACAGTGCTGGACCCATTTTACAGATTCTTCAGTGAGGTCAAGGGGCTGCTACTCACAGGGCTCCGTTGACGAGTACTTTTCTTTCTAGAATAGAAGCTCTGAGGTCAGAGGCTTCTCCTCCTCTGGTCTCCAGTGCCTAGAACATTGCCAGGCACATGTCTCTCGACTGACTCCCAGCCCTCTTGAAAAAGGCCTGCATGACCAGGCACGCCGGAAGGCGCCCGTCTCTAGCCTGGCCTTGTGTGTGAGGTCACCTGTGTGTTTTGGAGCATTAGGTTGTGTTTGCTCACAGGCCTCCTCGCCCCCCAGCCCATTTTTGGTTCTCCAGTTCTCCCCGTGGCTCTGTGTCCACCGACACGCGTACATGTCACCGTGCATGTCTGCTTTCTGCCAGTGAGTGTCACATGTCCCGCAAACTTTGCGGAAAACAGGAAGCCCGTCAATTAGAGGGCAACCCAGTGATTCATCAGGGGATGACTGTCCAGCTGTTCGTCCCCATCCTCTGCAGTGGGTCACTGTCCAGGGCAGCTTCCTCCCCTGCCTCCCCTTCTCTAGCATGCCTGGTGGAGCAGAACAGGCTTGGACTTTGTCTTATCACCTCTGGAGGTGGCATGGCCAGACTTGGTTGGGGCCAAGTTTTTATTTATCTTCTCTGGCTTTTTTTGGGGTGGGGAGGCTGAGGAATGTGGAGTGTTGTAATGTTAGGAAGGGGGGTGGAGAAACGGGAGCCAGCTCTCCTGCCCTGCTTGTCCTTCTCACCTCTGTGCCGTGGAGGCTCCAAGCTCCCCTCTGCTCCCCAGTCCCCTTGCCAAGCCGGTCTCAATATCCCATTGTCTCCCTGCGGCTTACTGGTCCTGGACCCGGTGGCCTGGCCGTACCTCAAGCCTTGGCTACAGTTGTGGCTTCCAGTTGTTTGAAGCAGCTGTTGTGGCCTCCTCCAAAAGTGGCTGTGGATCAGCAACAGATGATACCCAAGGGGCTATTTATAGCAGGGTGGCCCTGGGGCCTGGAGCAGGGCCTACAGCCTGGGGAGGCTCAGCGACTCCTCGTCAGGGACCAGAGGAATGGAGATGGATGAAGTGTTGGGTTTCTGCGTTCCTCTGGGTGGGGAGTTTTGGAACAGCCTGGTTTGGGACTTGAAAACCAAACACAACCCCTCCTTACCCCCCCACTGCCAGCGCATGCCTGACTCATGCAAACCCAGGTCCTCAGGGCCAGGAGAGCTGTGGAGACAGAGAAACTTTCTGCCCCGACAGTCCCGCTTGGCTGTTTCCTCCTCCTGCTGCCCGCCGAGGCTGAGCTGTTCAGAACTGGGCAGCAGCCCAAGCAGAGGGGACTGGGCACAGCCTGCTCACAGGCAGCTGGATGGGGAGTCCTCCTCTTAGCGGGGCTGCCCAGACTTTGGGCTCAGCTGGGAGCTGGGCCTCCCAGCCCACCCACTCCTATCTTGTTGGTGCTGCAGGGCCCGGGAAGGGCTGAAGGGGGTTCCTCTTCTTGAGGCCCCAGTGGCCACGCCTGAAGTCTGAGGGTGAATCTTCTTGGTTGTCAGGACTTGGGGGTGAGTCACTGTCGCCTCAGTTTCTCTTTTCCTTGGCAGATTGAGGTCCTGCATCCTCCAAGAGGTGGCTGCAACTCTGTGGTTGGGAAAGGCTGGTTCCGGTTCTGGGGAGGCCCAGGGCTGTTCGGAAAGTGCCAGTGGGCTCGGAGGGCTCTGGCTGGGTCTGGGATTCTAGCAGTTGGGTGTCCGATTCTGCACCATATGAGGTGGCTGAAGGGATCAACCCTGTGGAGGTGGGTGGCGGAAGTGATGATGCAGGGTGTGACCCCATATAGGCGAAGGTTGGGTTGTATCTCTCACTGCCCTTTTAAATGTACTTGCTGTAATAACGGTAACAACATATAAGTGCCGTGTCTGCATAATTCCTTTTCATCTTCAAACAACCCCGTTTGACACATGACTTTACACAGGCTCAGCGCTAAGTGATGCCAGGCTGCCTATCAGGGGTTTGTGGGGCTCTGACCCCCCGCTTTCATCGCTGTGTCATCGGGGTGCCCCGGGATGTTTGGGACGCCAAAGTGGGTCCATTGGTCTAGTTTTGTGCAAGTTGACGACCCTGGAAATGGGAGTGGGTGAGGGGGTAACAGACAATGGGCCTTGGGAGCACGGTTTGCTGTTAGTGCTGCTCTAGGTTGGTGTAGGTCACCCTGGCTACTCTCATCTCTAAACTCTTGATCGAATGACTCGGCGTCACTGCTTTAAGGGAGAGGAGGAGAAAGGTTTAGAGTCGGACCGAGCGGTGCGATCACTCCCCTTTCTGTCTTTCATGCTTGCAACCTACGTTCTCTACTCAGGGCTACTATTACGATGGCCGGTGAATCCAGACGAAATGGGTTTTCTTATTGAGTGCGTACTCGGTGCAGATGGCACCGGCCCAGGCGTGGTGCCATTCTCAGCATTTGGGATTTCTTTCCTTGCCCGGGGAAGGAAAGCCTGTTGCTTTGGGGTCTTGCACGCAGTCAGGCATACTCTCGTGGACTTGGTATTGACTGCTTTGGTTTGGGGTTGCTTTGTGGCTGTGGTGTTAGGGTGCCTGGGCTGGAAAGCTGGCAGAGAAAGGAGAGGATCTGTGTTTGCCCACGGCACTGACTGCGCCGTGGACGGCTTTCGGTCTGCCTCCTCTGTAACGCTGCTTCTCTTCTCTTTCCCAGGGCTCCACCAGAGTCACCCCGAGTGTCCAGCCCCATCCCCAGCCTATCAGGTATGCCTGGCCTATAGCGGGCAGAGGGTGGGGGTGCTGGCAGTGAGGTCACTGTGGGTGTTCCCGGCAAGTCATGCCCTTGGGTCTCTGAGACCGAAGTCATAAAGCCAATGGCAGGGAGCATGGGCAGACGTGAGGCCACAGTGGGAGCACGCAGGAAGATAGTACGTGCAAAGGGTCATGTTTGGAGTTTTAGCTTGAAGCCAGCCTTGAGCTGGATTCTTTATTTTCCTGCATAATCTTATCTACTCCTTGCAACAACCCTGCAAGGTAAGTATCTTATTTTCATTGGGCGGATGAAGAAACTGAGTCTCAGAGAGACGAGGTGACTAGTTAAAGGTCACGCGCAGGCGACTTGGGGTCTCGCTGAGACAGAGCCTCTTTTCTCTGTGTCCAGGTTCTCTGGTTCTGTCTCGGGCTCTTCCCTCTCTGCCTCATCTTTACCTCTTAGGCTCCCGAGATGAGTGAGAATCTGGCCCCAGGAAGATGGGGCCCCAGCCAGAGAAGGCCTGGTGTGTGGCTGAAGCCCCTGGAAGATTGTGGCCCAGCTGCCAGCTTCCCACAGACGGAGTGGCCCTTTAGGACATCCCCTTATCCCCCCACAGCTGAGAACCACCTTTGGGTGGGTGGGTGCAGAGCGCAGCGCTGAGGCTGTGCAGGTGGTGGTGCTGTTCTATGGCCAGTAGGCTGGGGCCTGAGGTAGGAGTCACACCTCCAAAGGTTGCAGTGAGAAGCTTATCTTAGGGATGAGGAATAGCCTGGGCTCAGAGGTCAAATTCACACTGTGCTCCTTACTGCAGCCTACGGGCCCTTCTACCACTTGGTCTTGTCATGGCATTGCCAACATGGAGAAGCCTCACGTCACCCCTGGCTCCCCCACTCCAAACCCCATCTACACCGTTGGGCTCAGAGTTAGCCCTGGTGGAGCTGTGGATGCTGCCCCACTTCTTGGTGTCCTGGGCTGTCCTCCCCAGTGCTGCCTCATCATTTTAAAATACCCCGGTGGTATTTATCCCTCTGCTCCTCCAGTCCCAACTTCACCCCACTGGAGCGAAAGGTTATCAAAATGAAATATGAGTGTTGCCCACCTCAGACAGAGAGGGGAAGCCAGACATGAGGAGGCTGGTGATAGGGGTATGGAGGCGTGGGGGTGGGGAGCTTGCGAGGGCCCCCAGAAGCTACAGGTGGGCTTCAGAATGGAATCCCATGTCCATTTCCCCTTCCTATCAGCACCCCAGTGGCACTCCAGACCCTCCCCTGGAAGCCGTGAGCCACTACCTCCCCTCATCCAGCGCCCACCCCAGGGGTTCCTCTCCTCTCCGAGGAACTCGAATGGCACTGGGTTGTCTGGGGGCCACTTGCCACCGCAGCAGCAGCAAAGGCTCTGCACCCTCTGCTTCCAGGGCCCTTAGAGTTGGGGAGACCACTGCCCCAAAGCTGCTCTGGCAGCAGCGGTAGCTGCGAGGTGGGGAGAAAGCCAGGGAACAAAGGGCAGGAGTTGGCCTGCCTCTGGGGAGGGCTGGAATGTGTGCTGTGGTCTGGCTTACCTGGAGCCCAGGTGAGCATGTCACCTGAGCTGCCCCTTCCCTTGAGAGGCCTCCCCGCCCACGCCACAGCCTCAGAACAAGGGGAGGGCAGCAGAAGGCGCAGCTCCGGGATGCTGGAGAGCACCCACTCAGGCTCTCCTCCTTCTTCCGGAGCCGTCCTGGGATCCTTTGCGAGACTTTTGCCAGACCAGGTGGCTGAAGTGTGTCGGGAAGTAGAGCTGGACTCCTGGGTCCTGGACTTCTGGGATCAAGGGTGAAGGCAGTGTTGACAGGATTGGTGGGAACCTAGGATTGGTGTCATCACTGTTTGGTTTGGATGTGGCCTAAGATCCTTGCCAACCCCTGCCCAGCTCTGCTCCGGCTGGCACTGACGGCTGCTCTCGCTTTGCCACAGGGTCTTGGTTCTGGGTTAGGGAGCAGCCAAGCCCCTCGGATTGGATATAGGGGCCACGTACAGTGTTCAGGGGTGTAGATTATCTAGACCTTGCCCTGGGGGGCTGGATTCTGATCTAGAAGCCCGTCTCTGCCTATCTCCCCAGAAACATGAGTGTGAACCGGACCATGGAGGACAGCTGTGAGCTGGACCTGGTGTACGTCACGGAGAGGATCATCGCCGTCTCTTTCCCCAGCACAGCCAATGAGGAGAACTTCCGGAGCAACCTCCGCGAGGTGGCCCAGATGCTCAAATCCAAACATGGAGGCAACTACCTGGTGAGGACGGGCCTCTCACCTGTTTGCCCAGTGCCCCTCTGCCCTTTCTGCTCGCCTCTCGCTGCTGGCATCCCTGCCCACTCGCCCTCAGCCAGCTCTTCCTCCTCTCTTCATTCGCCTGCCTTTGGCCCTGGTTTCTCTTGTATGTAGCCTGACTCTGCTATAAGGAGCATCTGCAGCTGGAATGAAGCATCTGAAACTAAGTCATGTATGCATGTGCGTGTGCATTCGTGTGTACACGTGTGTGTGTGTTGACCAGGAGGAGAGAATAACAGAGCTCATATTATTGAGCGCTTGCTATGAGCCAAGCCTCATTCCAGCTGCTTTTCACAACAGCCCTAGGAAGCAGATTTTGTTAAAACACAGAGAGGTGGGGTATTTGCCTAAGGTCACAGCGTCAGGAAGTGGCAGAGCTGGCACACCGTCAGCACCTCTGAGAAATCTTAGGGCACAGTTGTGGCAGAGTGCGTCTTAAGGGACCTTGTGTTGTTGACATTGGGATAGTACCTGGCCCAGGAGAATCACCTAACGAATGTGGATGGGGTGGCCACTGGTGGTCTCCTCTAATGTTAGAAAGGCCGGCCTGGGGATTGGACTCATCTGGGCCCCAGATGAGGGCTCAGGCCCACTTTAGGCAGGTACATGTGGACTGAACGATGGCCCAGAATGTGCAGCCATGAGGGGCTGCTCTGGGTGTTTGAGCAGAACTGGCTAGAGGAGGCTGGGGCTGCCGTAACGAATTACCATGAACTGTTGGCTTAAAACAATAGTTTATTCTTTCTCAGTTCTGGAGGCTACAACTCCAAATCAAGGTGTTGGCAAGGCTATGTTCCCTCTGTATCCCACAGGCGAGCATCTTGCCTGGCCTCTTTCTAGCTTCATGTTCCCTGGCATCCTTGGTGACCTTTGGCTTATAGCTGATAACTCTAATCTCTGCCTCTGTCATGGCCGTTGTCCCTGTGACTCTCTGTGTGTCCTCTTCTCTTCTTATAAGGACACTAGTCATTGGATTTAGGGCCCACCCTATATCCAGGATGATCTCATCTCCAGATCCTTAACTAGTTACATCAGCAAAGGCCCTATTTCCAAATAAGGCCACGTTCTGATGTTCCGGGTGGATGTGAATTTTTATGGAACACTATTCAGCCCACTACAGAGGCCTATCCCTCAGGTGTGTCGGGCATTGAGAACCTGGCTTTAAACGTGGGGAAGTCCTGGGTTCAAATGCTGGCTTTGCTCTTACTGTCTTATCTCGGCTACTTAGCCTCATTAAGCCTTAGGTTCCCCATCTGTCAAATGGGTCTAATAACACTACCTCCCTCTTAAGGTTGTTGAGAGAATTAAGCCAGCTGATAGAGGTGAAGTCCTTAGCATAGGCTGGCAGGCTGGTGACACTCCAGAGTTAACGGTTGTTAACATGATGAAGCGTGTTCCGTTATGAAGCTCAAGAGCAGGCTAGAAGCCACCTAAGGTCCTTCCTGATTTCAGAAGTCCAAGATTCCACGAGTTCCTGGGCCTTACCACCCTCCCCCGCTCTCCTGCCTGGTCCAGACTTCGCAGTCCTCTGTTCTCCCCAGGAGACAACACAGTGGCCTTCGAGATTTTTGGGCAGCGAAGTAGAGGTGGAGACAGGAAATCTAGAGATGGGGGGATTCTCATGGGATGTGATTAGGTGTCAAAGAGCACCTGCTGGGACAGGGGTGTCGAGGGTCCGAGAGGGCCTCCCCGCAGGAAGCCTTGCACCCTCTGCTAGAGGGCGTCCGACCACAGAGCTTTTGCATCTTCACAGGGTGAGGTTCTAAAGTACATGTAGACTGGAAACTAGAGGTGGCCAAATACTTAGCACTTAACACCACTGGTCCCATTCAGTGTGGGGAGATGCCCACCTTGGAGGTGGCACGTGGGACCCGAGATAGGTTCCATCCCGTCTTATCTTCAGCTCAGGATGTCTGCTCCCTGAGGGGAGTGGCTGAGTGTCTACCCTTCTCTCTCCTCGTCTTTATCTCGAGACCCCGTCGTTGAGTTCCTGTTGGTCAGTGTGTGGGTATGTCAGATGGGATCTCGCACAGACTCAGGCGTGGGTAGAATTTTCAGCAGGGGGAGAGCAGTTGTGTGAGCCTTCTCACTGTCTCTTCCCTTTCCTCCTCCTAGCTTTTCAACCTCTCTGAGCGGAGACCTGACGTCACGAAGCTCCATGCCAAGGTGAGCCCATGCCGAGGAGGGACTTGGGGAGAGAAGAAGAACGGGCAGGCTCCCCGTTCCTGTGGTTCCTCTGTTAGAATCTTGGGGCGAAGTGCTGTGACAGTTTGCAAAGCCTATTCAAGGTTACAGTGCCATCTCCTATTTGGAATATGGAAAAGAATATAGTCATTGTTTCCATAATACAAATTACAGAAAACAAAGCTTGAAATGGTGATTGCCTCTCCGGAGAACTCGTAGAATCTCTGAGGTGGGGCTGGAGTTTTGAGGTTTTTTTTAGTTTAATCGAAAAGTATTTTGGACTTAAACTGGTAGGGAATGGCAGATGTAGACCTTCCTTTCGCCAGCTTTCACTTGCTTGCCTGGTGGGTTGTGTGTGGGGCTGTGCAGGGACGTCTGCTCCTGGCTCCTAGATTCTGGCGCCTGTTGCTGTGTGATTCTGGGCAGGTGACAGACTTCTCTGGGCCTCGGTTTGTGCCTCTGAAAGTGGATGGGCTAGATCTCTGGGCCCTTGCAAGCAGAAGTTCTCTTTTACTGTAAAGTTCTGTGAGTTTAGGAAAGTTTCGAGGCGCCCAAAGACTGCCGTTCAGATCTGCCCTCTGTCCCCTCTCTGGTCGGCCTGAAAAAACAATGGATCCCGGGCCTGGAAAAGAGCTGCGAGCCGCCGGGAGCCCTTCCCTCTGCCCTCTTTTGCCCTGAGCCAGGCCTTGGGGTTTCTACGGGAGGAGAACTTGAGGGCAGTGCTGGGGGTCCCAGAACTTTTTGAGGTCAATGTCATGTGGAAAGGACGTTGGATCATCATTTCCAAGCATTTGTTTTATACACATATGAGAAACTGAGTCTGGGAGAAGGGCCGTGACTGGCTTGAGGCCCCACAGAGAGCCAGTGTCGGAGCTGAGACACAGGCCCAGGGTCTCTGGTCCTGGTCAATGTCCTTTGCCTCCATACCCCCAGCTCCCAGCTGGGTTGATGCGCAGGGCAGGAACCGAGACCGGGCTGCTGTTGGCCACTGCGATGCTAGTAGAACGTGGGGTGTATGCTGTCCTTGCCGCCCTAGTTGACACTCTGGGCTTCTGCCACTAATTACTCCTGGCTCGGGCCGCAGGTCCTGGAATTTGGTTGGCCTGACCTCCACACCCCAGCCCTGGAGAAGATCTGCAGTGTCTGCAAGGCCATGGATACTTGGCTCAACGCAGACCCCCACAACGTTGTTGTTCTACACAACAAGGTCAGAGCTGGGGCTGCCATGTGTGTGTGTGTGTGTGTGTGTGTGTGTGTGTGTGTGCGCGTGCGCGCGCGCACGCACGCATACCCGTGTATGAATATATCCTAGTAGAGTGTATCTACCTGCCTGCATCATTGGATTGTGTGAGTGAGCAAGTCTGTGTGTGTATTCTCCTTTCTAAGGGATGATAGTCTGTCCCAGGGGTACCCCCAACAGGTGGAGGGTACAGCTTGTGGGCCCCTCAAGTGGAGCGGATAATCAGCTGTGTTTCTTCTCTTTGAGACTCAGCCCCTACTTTCTTCCCTCCCCCGCATCCCCCTACCTCATCCTGTTCTCCCTTAGAACCACACTGCTCTCTCCAAACCCTGCAAGCTTTTCTCCAAGGCTTCTGGATGGGCCTTGGAGCAGTAGGCCTGTCTTGGAAATAAAGGCTTTTGTGTTTTGGGGGTCTTTCAGGGAAACCGAGGCAGGATAGGTGTGAGACTCAGCCCCCACTTTCTTCCCTCCCCCGCATCCCCCTACCTCATCCTGTTCTCCCTTAGAACCACACTGCTCTCTCCAAACCCTGCAAGCTTTTCTCCAAGGCTTCTGGATGGGCCTTGGAGCAGTAGGCCTGTCTTGGAAATAAAGGCTTTTGTGTTTTGGGGGTCTTTCAGGGAAACCGAGGCAGGATAGGTGTTGTCATCGCGGCTTACATGCACTACAGCAACATTTCGGCCAGGTAAGAGGGCCTCTGAGCCTCCCATTCTTTGAATATGGACAGCAGAAATCCTTCCTCCTATCCACCTATGGCTTCTCCCTTCCTTGGGGTGGAGGATAAAGACATGGTGGGTGAGAGGTGCTTAGGACGAGGCGGAAGAGCCAACAACAAGGAGGCGCCTGTCTAGAGCTCAAAGGCAGGAGCCTGTGACAGGGCAGAAGAGAAGAGAGTCTGTCCTTTTATTGCAGCCCCACGCATGGACGCCCCATCCAGCCAGCTTCTTGGGCCCACATTTCCTTGCCAAACTGCCTTGTGTTTCCCTGAGTGAGCAGGGAGGGAATCAGAAAGAAATCTTGGATCAGATCTGGGTCCAGCAGAACCATCTAGAAGTTCTCTCATCAATCTTCCTGTCTCTGGCCAGCAAGGCCCTCTTCCCACTTAGGTGTTTTGGGAGCAAGACCAGGAAACAAACGATGGATGAGTCTCATTCCGATGCCATTTTGCGGAGAGGTGGAAGAATTCATCCATTCGTTTGTTTCTTCATTCAATGGTTATTGAACAGGCGCTGTGCCAGGCTCTGTTCTAGGTGCTGGGAATAGAGCAGTGGGCAAAGCCAGGCCACTGGCCTCATGGATATTAAATAAGTAAACGGGTACATCAGTCATAGCAGGTGATACGTTCTGTGAGAGAAAGGAGACTAGAGCAAGACAGTGGGAAGGCGGGGACACCTGGTGGGAAGAGGCCTCTGGAGGAGGCGATATTTGAGCAGAGACTTGAATTAAGTGAGGAGAGGGCAGGAAGGGCCGAGTCACCTAAAGTCTGGGGAAGGAACTTTCCGGGCAGAGAGAAGAAGGACTAAAGGCCTGTGGTGGGAAAGCAATGTGAGGGGAGGGCATGTTTGGAGCTGAGTGAGTGAGGGGATGAGGGGTAGGAAGTGAAGCTGGAATGGGGCAGAGCCTGGGGGCCTTGTAGGCCTTGATTAGGACCTTGGAGTTTATTAGGACATCCTCAGAGAGTCAAGAAATAGTGAGCTATATGATCTGTCTCTTCGTTTTAGAATGATTTGGATGCTCTTAGAGGAGGGGTAGGATGTTCTGTGGAGGGATCGTCAGTAGGACATCAGCCTTCTGACTTTAAGAAATGTAATCAAGCCGAATCTTTGTTTAATGGTGAACACTTGTTGTGCACCTACTATATGCCTGCATGTGCCAAGCTCTTTGTAGATGTTATCTCACTCGATCGCCACCATAGCAAACTTGGAAGAAGGCAATTATCCCCCTCATTTGACATGCAAGGAAAATCAGGTTCTGAAAGATTAAGTGACCTTCCCCAAGATGCAGGGCTAGTAACGACATTGAGGACCAGGGGTGGCTCCAAAGCCCCATGCCAAGCACTTCAATGTACAGGATGGAAAGATGCTGGGGTGTTCTTTTTCTGAAAGCTTCACAGCACAGGTTGGCTGGAGAACTCCGCAGATCTAGGGGAGCAGGGTGGGGGCTGGGGCGAGGCAAAGAGATTCTTGGACTTGGGAGTTAGCCCCTCTGAACACCTGTCTTTCCCCTCAGCGCTGACCAGGCCCTGGACCGGTTTGCAATGAAGCGGTTCTATGAGGATAAGATTGTGCCCATTGGACAGCCATCCCAGAGAAGGTGGGTCTCCTGGCCTCACAGCCCAGTGCACACACATGTGTGCTTGCAGTGTGTGGGGACTAGCCTCGGGGACCCATGGGGGATGAAGCAGTGTGCCTAGGTGGAGGTATACCAAGCGTGTGTGTTCAAATGCCAGCCCAGAGGGGTGTGAGCTCAGGAACACGAGTGAGCCCATGGGCAGCTGCACGCACCCACAGGTGGGCAGGGCAGTTGGCTCCTCAGGCTGATGCCATAGAGCAGGGCCATGGGTGGGGGACACATTGGTCTGGCTGTAAGCAGGTCTTGTATTAAAAGGCAGTGACATTCTTGGTCCTGGCAGCAGGATTGCTTCAGTGTTTGGATGAGTCTACAGGAGGCTGACATCACTGCCGCCTGCCCTGGGGAGGTCACAGACGCTCTCTGTAAGAGTCACCAGTCACCTTCTGCTGGGAGAACTTTACGAATTTTAGCGAGGGCTCTCGACCACATGGTCCCTTTGGAATCCACAACGGCCCAGGCAGGAAGCAGGGCTCATTCATTTATCTGGCAAGTTTAAGGCACTCTGCTCTGTTCCAAGTACTGGAGATAGCTAGTTGAATAGGACAAAGCCTTTTGCCCCTAGCGAGCTGATGTTCTATTGAGAAGGGTAAACATCACACAACTAAATATTCAAATAAGATAATTTCCGACAGTGAGGAAAAAAAGGATAGGGTGCTGCAGAGGCGAGAGCTGGTGGGAGGGGAATGGGGCTACTTCAGTGACGGTGGTCAGGGAATACCTCTCAGAGGAGGCAAATTTGAGCCCAAAGCTGAATAATGATGAGCCACCACGTGGCGGCCCAGGGCATCTCCATTTTACAGGAGAGAGGAGAGGCCTGCGCCTACGGAGGGAACTTGACAGGGCCAGGGTCCACAGCGAGTAGTGGCAAAGCTGGGATGTACTCGGGGGACCGTAACTCTGGCCAGGGAAGTGCCCCGTGCTTGTGTCATCCACCGTCCTGAGGCCGCCCCTGGATTCGGCTCTGTGGATGACATGCTGTTTAGTGATGTCTGATCCACAGGAAGGCACAGGTAGTGTCAGGACCAGGTGGGCCTTGGGAGACTGCAGGTGAGTGGGAGCCAGAATGATGGAAACCCAGGCCCAGAGTGGAGAACTGGAGAGTGGGACTCAGGCCAGAACCCTGTATGGCTGGTGCTGTGGGCTCGCCACACCTGTCTGTGATGTGTCACACTGAGCTGCACACTAGGGCTATGGGGCTGAATCTCTCAGGCAAGGTCTCCTGGGGTTTAACCTTCTGGTGGATGACACCCATGGAAACAAGCCATCAAGGTCATTTAGGATAGTGAGAAGTGCTTCGAAAGTGGTAGACCCAAACGGAACATGATGGACGAGAAGCTGATGGGAGCAGGCATGAGGGACTGGTTCAAACGAGGTCTGAGAAGGAAGGAAGCAACCGAGTGATGGTCTGGAACAGACAGTCTGGGCAAAGGAGATGGCAAGCACATGGGCCTGGCAGCCACAGTGTCCTACTGACTTTCCTAGCCTCTCGGAACACTGGGCGAGAAGGACCCCCTAGCTGTGGATCCTGGGGCTTTCCAGATTCTCCATGCTGGGGGTTCCCCAACTCACGCCCCATCATCCTCACCTTGCTTGCCTGGCTAGAAGCATGTTGGCACCACTGGGACTGTTTCCGCCATTGTGTCAGGAAGCCCTAGCAGAAATGAGTGAGTCCTCAGGCTACCCAGGGCCTTACAGTTGGCACGAGACAGCTGGTAGCCAGCCGCTGGGTCAGCTGGATCAGAAACCGGATGTCTTTATGTGCAGGAAATTCTGGCTAGGCTGCCAGACACAGCAGCTGTGGATCAATAGAGTTTTCCCAGGGAGGAAATCTCAGGGAGGGAAGATCTAATTGCTTAAGTACCTGCTCCTCAGTCCCTGGCTTGCCACATATGGCTGGTGGCCTTGGTCATGAGTCTGGCCCTTGCTCTTGAAGGATAAAGGATACAAATAGAGGAGCGTGAAGTTACGATGGGACACTGTGGCTTGGGAGGAGTAGGCAGAATAGTCATATCTCGGAAGCTGAACCCCTGGAGAATGGGGATCAGTGTTACCTCTCAGGAATAGGATTGTTCAGGGATTCTACAGCGCTCCGTTTGTGTATATGTGTGTGTGTGCGTATTTACATTATCTGTGTCTGCCTTGCAGTTCACATCTACACACCCATCTGCTGGTGGGCGGGTAATTCTGTTTGTGCCCAAATGTGAAAGTGCAACTATTGAGTTGAACCTTTATTAGCTGCCACTTTTCTGCCTTCATGTCAGTGACGCTTGTAAGGAATGGGGCAGCTGGAGGAGAAGGGCGCAGAGACAGAAGGAGGGAGGGGCTTGGCCTAGAGCTCCCCCATTCATTGTCACCACACCCTTGGACTCATTGTCCCCGGCACACAGGCACATCCTGTTGGCACGATCCAGAGTTCTGATAGGAACCTGCCATTTCAGGTTTCCGCTTTCAGTAATGGGGCTGGGGGCTGGGCAGGGGTCTGAATAGGAGCCGGTGCTGCCCATCAGATTATCTAGCTGGAGTTGTCTGAAGTGGCCCCACCCAGCCCAGGGACAGGGGCCCACAGGCCTGGAGGCAGGCCAAAGAGCTAAGATACAGTAGAGGACTATTATCATATGGTCACGTGGGTTCTGGTCCCACCTCCCTCCAAGAGCTCCCTCAGAGTCTCGGATGCATCCTTATTGGTTCAGCTGACTAAGCTTGGTGTCCTCTGGCCAGTCAGAAAAGGAGGAAGCAGCGGCTAATGGCAGGAGGATTGGCCTCTCGTTTTGGCAGATGCGTTGGAGTCAGACTTCTTTCCTTCTCTCCCCACCCACTCCTAGCTTTCTGTGTTTTTGCTGTGTATATTTTGGAAGCTAATGACCCTTTCTGGACTGGATTGTTCTAACAGGAGTGGGAATAGATTAATCCTTCCATTCTTTCAACAAAATCTTCGTTGAATGAATTAGGGGATGTTGACCTTAGAGATAAGATATTTAGCAGAAGTTAGATAGCTGCCAGCACATGAAATGATATAGAGGGGTTTCATACACTTCAGCATGATATAAAAATGTGAAGCACTTATAATTATTATGCTTTTACTGTTTGCTGGCATGTCAGGTGGTTGGACAGGCTGTGTGGGCCGACCTGAGGCCTGTGGGTCTAGGTGTCAGCTTGATTTGGGCTTGGTGTAAGGGTGTCAGAGCTGTTTGGTGGTTGATCAGCCTATCTTGTGTAGTAGTAGTGAGCAGCTAAATGACACCCATCAGGGATGCGTGGGAGGAATTTTGGTCCAGCAGGAGATTCCTGGGCTGGGAGTGAAGCAGGAAGGAGATGCTCGTGTTGACCACCAGGGGGCGCTGGAGAATCCCAAATGGGAGATTTGGCTTGACCCAGCTCTAGTTCTGGTAGGATCCTCTGACTCACCCTACTTCGGGCTGCAGACAGCAAGGGAGGACTGTGCTGGGGTTGAGACCCCAGCCACGTGGAGGCCTGGGGGTGGGGAGAGGCTAGGTAGGGTGACCTAGGAAGGATGAGGGGAAGAGAACTTGGGATAGCTCCAGGGCAAGCCTCCCTCGTTGAAGCTGCCTCCTCTCCTCTTCCAGGTACGTGCACTACTTCAGTGGCCTGCTCTCTGGCACCATCAAAATGAACAACAAGCCCTTGTTCCTGCACCATGTGATCATGCACGGCATCCCCAACTTCGAGTCTAAAGGAGGTATTGACCCTAGGCCTCTGGCTTTCTTTCCCTCCTGTCTTCTAGGTCTTTCTCTTGAGAGACAGCCTTGGGTGGTCAAAACGTGGGCTTGGATTGGAGTCTCGACTGTACCACTTCCTGTGCTTTCTTTAGCCCCAGTCTACTCATTTGCAAAATGGATTTTGATCCTTGCATTGCCTGCTGGCACATGATGCTGGATGTGGCAATGTTTTTGTAAACTGAAAATGCCTTTCACATGAAAAGCTAGTATTTCTTCTCCTTTCTCTTTCTGTTTTTCCTTCCTCTTTTCCTCCTTTCCCTTTCTACTCCCTCTTCCTTCCTTTCTACCCCACTTCTCCTTCCACTGTTCCTGCTGTCTTAGCTAACACCACCCTTCCCTTACAGGGTGTCGGCCATTTCTCCGGATCTACCAGGCCATGCAACCTGTTTACACATCTGGCATCTAGTAAGTACTCCATGGGAATGAGAGGCTGGGATGCCGGCGTTCCAAGGCCAGGGGTAAAGGTGCGGGGTGGGGCTTCCTCGAACCTCGTCTAGGAGAGGGCCGAGGGTTGAAGTCAGTGGGGTCTCCCAGTAGACCACTGGTAGTGGGGCGGCAGGCAGAGAGTGTGCTGCTGCCCCCTCAGTGGCTCTCTCTCCCTCTGCCCACCCGACCCAACAGCAACGTCCAAGGAGACAGCCAGACCAGCATCTGCATCACCATTGAGCCTGGGCTGCTCTTGAAGGGAGACATCTTGGTGAGTGCTGCCCCTCTGTCTCATTTATTTTTCTCCCTTCTTCCTTCCTGCTTCCCTCCTGCCTCTCCATACAAGCCCTCACTCTTGGTCAGCCACCAGCCTTGGGATCACAGGCTCCTGCAAGGCCTTCTAGCCTCTGACACTTCTTGTCCATTCTCCTGCCTTGGAGCTGGACATCCCCCCTCCCTCGGGCTTGCCTCTCCTTCTGGAATATCTCCAGGGAAATATCTCTCAGCTCTTACCTCCTGGCTTTCTATTGGTGACAAGGACTCCTTAATTCTAACTTCAGCCCTTCTTCCATCAGTTAAATCCACTCCTACTTTTTCTATTCTGACTTGTACGCAGGAACTTCGTGGGAGACAGTTTCGTCCCCATGGGATAAGACTCGTCTCCAACTCTCTGCTCTGCTAGAATTTTTCCCAGAGAGCTCTGAGATCCTGTTTGGTGTTGGTGACCTCTCCCTCACTGGGTTTGGGGTGACCCTGGGGCCCAGTCTTGGAGACGATCAAGAGGCTCCATGGGACATGGTTTCCCATCCTCGGGCCCCTCATGGGCTCTGCTCTCTCTCTCACCCAGCTGAAGTGCTACCACAAGAAGTTCCGGAGCCCAGCTCGAGATGTCATATTCCGTGTGCAGTTTCACACCTGTGCCATCCATGACCTGGGGGTTGTCTTTGGGAAGGAGGACCTTGATGATGCCTTCAAAGGTGGGCTCGTTGAGTGGAAAGGCAGACCTCGCAAGGGATAATTATATCACAGGGTAGAAGAGCCATAATGGAGGGGCCATGGTAGCAGTGAAGGGGCAACTATTTTCTGAGGGAAGGGGAGGTGATCAGGGAGGCGTCTCCTTTTGTTTCTTTCTTTTCTCCCTTTGAAATTTTATCTCTATCACCTTCGGGATTGGGGCATATCCACATCCATCCATCCATCCATCCTTCAACCCACCCACCCACTCACCCACCCACCCACCCATGCATCCATGCATCCATTCATACATCCATGCGTCCGTCCATCCATCCATCCATCCATCCATCCATCCATCCATCCATCCATCCACCCACCTATCCACCAAGCATCACTTGAGTGTTGACATATGTGCCAAGCATGCACTAGGCCTTAGAGATACAAAGAGAAAGAGATGAGTCCATATCCTTAGGGATTCCACGGTCTTGTGGGAGAACAAGACACATGAGCATACTATGAAGTGATGGCTGCAGTGAAGGAGACACGCACAGGCATGATGGGTACCCCAGGGAGTGGGCACCATCCCTGCGGTAACTTCACTTGTTGTAAGCAGTGGCTGGTGATCTGTGTCCCGACTGGGCTCAGGCAGAGAGCAGAGAGTCGAGCTGGAACTTGGAAGAGGAGCGGCACGATCGCCTCGGTGTAGTCTGGCTTGTGCAGGAGAAGGTTGTTTCTGTGATGTGCTTTCCCTGGACTAGAACCAGAAGGGCAAAAGCAGAAGATGCTGTTATAATTACGAAACAGAATAAAGGTTACCGATCTTAACAAGGAAGAATAAAGGAATAGCTGACACAACAAAGATGGGGTTGGTGAGAGATGAGAGAAGGGGAGGGGCACAAATCCTTCCTCTTACACGGAGGGAGTCAGGACACCATCAGAAAGTGGGCAGATCAAGAAACAGAGGCTTAACTATATAGTATTTAAAGTTTCAAAGGTAATCAATAGAATAAATGATGATGATAATAATATCAGATTTAAGAAGAAAGAAGGTATACACTACTACTGTATAAGTGAGCCAAATTATTCATCTTCATAGTGAATCAATGAAGATTATTGAAAATTGATGTTCGAGATATCTAGAAATGGTGGCATAAAAACTGTGGCTATTATTTAGAGTCTTAGCGGTCACTGCTAGTAGAACAAGAAATAGAAATGGTTAGAAATGGTTATCTCAGGCAAGTAGGACTAGGGCTAGGTGGGGCAAGAGGCTTGATTTCATTATTTCTATTTATATAACTTATTATATTACCAACCTGTGTGCGTACGTGCGTATATGTATATATCACTTTAATCTTCTTTAAAAGAAAACTGTTTATGGAGTCCTTTTGGGGAATTGATCACCCACTTTCGTTTTTCCTTCTCCTTTTTCAGATGATCGATTTCCAGAATATGGCAAGGTGGAATTTGTATTTTCCTATGGACCAGAAAAGATTCAAGGTATAAATAAAGTTAGAATCCATTCATCATCTACTCCTTTCCCTTTATCCTGGCCTGTCCCCACCCCTCCTTCACCATTCTCCCACTGATCTACTCTATAATTGTCAGGTTACCTGTGACTGAAAGGCAGGCCAACAGTAAAGGCTCTGGGTATCATAGTGGACCCCCAGCTAAACGTGAGCCAGAGATAATCTCTGGGTAATAAAAATAAAAAAGCAGACAGGGAGGCACTGGTTTGGATAAACTGTTCTGGTCCCATTAGGTCATCATCTTATTATAATCAGAGACTGAGGGCCATGGAGGATGGAGGGAGTGGCTGAGGGGACACTCGAAGGTGCTGGGTAAACGATAAGTATTTCTGAGAACTGAGGTGATTCAACCTGAAGATGAGAAGGCCAATTTAATAATAGCTTTAGACTGGTTATATGTGGAGACCAGTTGTTCTCCATCTTATTTGAGAACAGAATGGGAGGAGATGAAGTTAGGTTACAGACAGAGGGACTCTGGATAGATTAAAGAAAGACCGCCAGGTCAGGAAGGTGACTTACCCCAGAAGGTCTGACTTGCAGCTGTGCTGTCTTCATCCTGTGCTTTCTCTGGGTGTGTAGGAAGGATTCTGCCTCTCCCCTCAGATTTCTGTCTGGAGTGGAGAGTGCCTTAAGTAGGGGGCAGGGAGATGGCTGGGATGACCTTGTGTCCTCTCAATGTCAAGGCTGCGATCCCTGTTTCTCCTACACTCTCCCTGACTCCAGGGGCAGACTCTCATTTCTGGGAACTGCCCCAGGGACCCCTGGGATACAGAAGAGAAAGAGAGAGTTGCCCAGCTAGAGGGTCCCCCAGCTTTCTCTTAGGAGGGGTCTTCATTTCTCAGTGCCTGTCCTGATTTACCCCTATGGCCTGGTATGAGCCTTTTCAAGAATGCAAGAAACCAGACACCTGGGTTCTCCATCCAACTTAAGCCACTGGTCCCACCCCCCAGGGTCAAGAAAGTGAGAAGTCTCTCAGGGAGCATCCTTGGGGGATCTTGTTGGCTTCCTCTGTTTTTCCAGCTGCTGATTCCTTTTTTCTTTTTCTTCTCTGTCCTCCTGCCCTCTCCCAACCTTTTAGGCATGGAACATCTGGAGAACGGGCCAAGCGTGTCAGTGGACTACAACACCTCCGACCCCCTCATCCGCTGGGATTCCTATGACAACTTCAATGGGCATCGAGATGACGGCATGGAGGGTAGGTGGGACTGGTGGCTCCAGCCGCCCTCCAAACTGCACAGCCCCTGCACACGGGGCCTCTGCTGTCTTGTTTGGCTGTGACACTATACTGGATTTAAAGAGAACGCAGAGAAGTCCAAGGCACCACTGAGGTCATAGCCACATGAGGATGCACCATTGGTGCCAAATGAATCCCACAGACAAATGCATTTTCTGAGATTGGCAGGGGAGGGATTCTTGAGGGCTAGAGTAGCCTGGGAGGGCTACTTAGAGGACATGGCCTTGAGCGGACCTCGAGATACTTCCTGTGCTGCCACCACAGCATTTGTTAGATTTCTTTTAAACCCATTGCTGTATTTCTCCAGCCTCGCTGCCTGAGTTCTCTGGGGTTAGAGCACTAGGAATGTAGACACAGCATCTTGGGCCTACAGGCTTTCATCGACAGCCAACGAAAATGTTTGAGAGCTGGAGACAAACAGATAGGCTTCAAAATTTGAAAAGAAAGCTACAGAATTGAAATTAATACATGTTTAATTTAGCTACAGAACCTAACATTATGTCAGATGGTCAACTGAAACTCATTTCAACTCTTGAGAGTTATGTATGGGTTATATTTATTTATGTGGTTCATTTGAATATGTGTGATGGCATGTGGGGCTGGGCCTCTGCAAGTGAGCGTGCTTGGAGCCCAGGAACTCTTGAGACGCCTTGCCTGGGGTTTGGCCACAGGCTCGTTTCCCTGATTTGGTCCTAGGACTGTGGGATGTGGGAGCTGGGAGACCCTCAGAACCATTGGCCACCTCCATCCGTTTTCAGTTGGGGTAATTGAGACAGTTACCAATTGAGATGGGTCTCCTGATTTAGCCCCCTGACCTGGGATGTGTCCTTTCAAGGACAGCAGCACCCAGCCTCTGGGCTTCTTCTCCCAGCTGAAGTTGGTTCTGGGGTGAGGCTGTGCCATCCAGGGGCCCCTGGACCATGTGGAAGAGCTGGATTAGGGAGAACCAGGCACCCTCACCCTGCCTTCTGCCTCTGTCTCCAAGGTTCTGGATTTGTGGACTGCATGCACCCTGAGGCCTTTATGCAAGGCCTTTCCTTGCATAAAGATTCTCCCTCTGACCTTGGAGACACCAGAATGAGCGATGGATTTCAGAGGCATTGGGACAAGGGCAGTGGTTGGGCTAGAATTTAGGGCTTGATGAGAGCATGTTTCTGTGCAATATTGCAAAGTTCAAGGCTTGTCCTCATACCTACTCTAGCTCCCTGTCCTTCCTCCCCTGAGGGGCACAGACACCCCGCCAGGGCCCTCCCCACCCTGCTGAGGCTGCAGCCCCAGAGCACTCCTCCCCACTTCCCAACCCCATCCACCTGTGCTGCGTGGCTGAGGAGGAGGCAGAGAATGAAATGAATTAGTCCTGAGGTACCAGTGGCTGCCAGCCCAGTTGTTCATCTTCTGGTGATGTTTGTATCTTTAACGAGAACATTTGGCAATTTGAAGGAATTTTCAATGACTCCCCATCTCTCCCTGGTGTGGAGTCAATGCGATGATAAATATAAAAATATTTGGTAAACTATCAAGTGCCAGGCAAATAAAAGGTAAAATAATTAAGGGGGAAGAAGGAGTGGCCGTGGGAAGGACAGGGCTTGGGATATAGTCGGCTGTGAGGGAAGGAAGGGGGGCAGACAGAACAGTGAGAGGCAGGGACGGGGAGGAAGGAGAGGGTCAGGCGAGGCCCTGGGCTCCTCCTGCCCCCTGGCCTGCCTTCCTCCCTCCTTCGATCTGCTCCCCCAGGCAGGGGATGGAGCCAGTGGGACCTTTGACCAGTTAAAGGTCAGCTTGTCCTGTAGGGACAGAGGGGCTCCTGTGTGGAGGCTGAGAAGCTGGCCCTATGCCTAACGGGTGGGCAGAGAAGCCAAGGCGGCAGTGCATCGCCCCGCTATCCTCCCCCCAGCCTGGCCTGGGTGGGGAGCTTGTGGCTGGGGTGGTCACCAGGGCAGACTCCGCCTGTCCTACTGTGTGCTCCCTGTTGCCACTGGGCTGCATCCCCCACAGGCACAGGAAAGCAAGTCGGGACCAGCCCTGGGGCAGGAGCAGTCAGCATTATCCCCATCCTGCTTTTCCTTCTAGCTCGGGGCACATCTAGAAGGCTCTAGATTCTGGGGCCCAGAGATTAAAGCATTTTCTTCTGGCTAATTCTCTGGTCAAGAGAGGGAAGCAGGAGGCCCGTGTCTGTCCCCCTGTTGTGGACAAGTCCTTGTGCCTCAGTTTTCCCATGCGCTGGCTGGGGTAAGAGCACCTAACCCCCCAAGACTCTGAGGTGCTCAGGAGATGGCTCGAGCTGGAGCCCGGGAAAGGGCTTGGCTGTTTCCTGGTGTGGTCCAGGGCTGAGGGGATGGCCTGAGGGGTTAGGAGGTGCCCAAGGCACCTCTGCCTGTTTTGCAGGAGGTCCTTGGCTGATCCCAAGGCTCTCCAGTGCGGTGGGCAAACGTGCACTTCAGAGCCCGCCTGCCCGGGTCCAAATCCGAGCTCTCCGCTCTGTGGCCGCACACCCTTGGTCAGGTCTTTAGCCTCCTCGTGGTCTTCGTTTCCTCATCTACACACTCGGGCGGTGACAGTGCCCTTGCCATTGGGTTATTCTAGCAATGTTCGCAAGAGGCAGTTTAGTATAGGGGTTAAGAATGTGGCCTCTGGAGCCAAACTCCCCGGGTTCAAATCCTTTGACAAGATCCTGTTCTCCTGGAGCCTCAGCTTACTCTGCTGTCAAGTGAGGATTCAGTCAACACATCATTTTGAGCACTTTTTGGAGATTGGCGGCTGTGGAGGGGCTGCCTGCTGTGTTTGCTCACGAGTCTCTGACACATCAGTTATGACTGTGGCAGCATCTCAGGGGTCTGCAGACAGGGCTAATGAGAAGGCCCCTTGGCCTTGGCCTTGGGAGCATGTGGCTTTGCCACATGCCGGCTGTGGTGCCAAAAGCTTGATAGTTACCGCCTCATCTAATGCTCACAGGCATCCTGCCAAGTGGGCACTATTGTTATGGCTGGATCGGGGGCTGGGACACGGCAGGATTCAGTAACCTGCCTGAGGTTGCCTAGCTGGTTAAGAGAGGGTCTGGGTGTGGAACCCCACTGGGCCGTCCTAGGTCGGCTGACATCCCCAGGGGCCTGTTCTGGGCATCTGGTCCTGTGGCACTGGGTCCCTGCTGAGCTTAGATGAGTGTCTGCCCGCTCTGCCTGTCCTCCCTTGCCCCCCACCCCCCGTACCGCCTCTTACCCCTGGACAGACCAGATCACCCTGGTCCTGCCTCTCACATGAGGCAGGCCTTAGATTTGGTGGTGCATCGGGCTGGCCCCAGTGCAGGTACTAGCTGGACTGCACTGCAGGGAACAGGTGAGGTGCACCCCTTGATGTTTCTCCCTCACCACCACGGAGGGGGAGGGGCTGCTCACTCAGGAGTGCCTCTGGTGGGGGGCTAGCCTCTTAAAATAGGTAGAGGGTAGTGTGTCCAAGGTGAGGTGAGGCCATTTCTGGAAGCAGCCTGCCTCTCCTGTTTCAGGCCCGTTGGGAAGTGGATAGGAGAGGCCAAGCCAGGCCAGGCCAGTCCCTCTGGAGCCCCACTGGGTGACTCAGAGGGGAGGGTGGGGGCACTGAGCCAGGTGCCTGGGAACAGAAATTGTCTCTGGCCTGGTCCCACCTTGCCCACTCCCTGCAGTGAGGGTCAGCCAGCGCTGGAGACAGAGATTCTATTCCCTTGGGAAGCGCTCCAGATGACCCTGACTTAACCCTCAGCGTCTTGACCACTCTGTCTTTAACCCCTCCCTTGTTGCCTGTGTCCCTACCCTCCCAACTCCTAATTCCAGTGTTTGATGTGTGGCATTGTGACACTTAGAATGTTCTACTTGCTCAGTACATCCTCCATCAATCTCAGCAGCAAAAGAAGGAAGAAAGGTCTGTATGGGGACTTCTTTTCTCTGTAGGCTGACCTCCTAGGCTGGGGTGGCCCAGGCCAATCACAGAGCACATTTAAGGCCCTCCTGCTGCAGTGGGGAAACTGAGGCTTGGGAGGGAAAGGGACCTGCCAAAGGAGGAGGCAATCCCCATGTGTGGAACCCACCTTCACATGATCTCATCTCCTCCTGTACCAAAGACCACAATGAAGTGTGTGGTAAGCTGTGCGATGTCACCTGGAGTAGATATTTGAATCTGGGCGTCTGACTCCGCATCCCTTTCCCCTGCTTTGGGGCTCAGCTTATTCAGCAGCCCCACTCCCCTGAGCCCGGTGACTGCTTCAGGATGCTTGCCCAGCTCCTCGAATCCTTAGATGACAGGGAGCTCGCTGTCACACAGGGCAGCCCATTTCACTTTGGAAGAGCCCAAGAACTAAAACCAGGAAGTAAGGGTAAAGGGCGAGTGCCTCTGCGTGGGGGGCCAAGGCCGCAGGGACCACAGGTACGCGGGGACCATTTTGGCTCACCTGCACTTAGGCCAGAAGGAGGGGAAAGTGATGAAAAGGGAAGAATCCAGCGGAAACTCACTGTCAAGAGCTTTCTGACCACAGACATTTCCAGGCCTTGGAACAGGTGGCTGGGGACAGGGGAGCTCCTGCCATTTCAGGGACTCCTTACTCTGGGAGCAGCGTCCTCTGGTGAATCTGATGGCCTGGTGTCTTAGTCCGCTGGGGCTGCCACGACAAATTACCATAGACTGGGTGGCTTGTGGTTGGCCACCATTTTCCTGTCTCTTCACCGATCTTCTCTCTGCATTTCTGTGTCCTAATCACCTCTTCTTCTTCTAAGGACACCAGTCAGATTGGATTAGGGCCCACCCATGTGACTTCTTTTTAAATTTATTTACCTCTTTAAAGGCCCTATCTCTAACTATAGTCATATTCTGAGGAACTAGGGGTTAGGATTTCAATATATGAATTTTTTTTTTTTTTTTGGTGGGAGGACACAGTTCAACCCATAACAGCTAGAAAAGAATTTCCTGGGTGGCCCAAAGTTGGATGCCTGGAGCCT